TTGGGCGTTTCGTTGAAGAAAGTCGCAACCCAGAATAACATTCCATTTGAGCTCTGAGGAAACGAGGAAGCGGTGTCGGATAGTTCTATCTTTGATGGAGACTGGTACAACTGCGGAGCCGCGGAGTGCTAGAGGGGAATTGTTGGCGGTGAGGATCCGAATTTGTGGGAATTCAGGCTGCGTGTAAGGCGTGTCGTACAAAAGACTGTCGTGGATCGGAGAGACGGCTGCCCCTGTGTCAACTAGTATACTGACTCTCCTATTCCCTATCTTTCCAACGACTGTTAATGGTTTAAAGTCGGGGGACACGGTAAATAAAGCTGCAAGGGGTAAGAGTCGTTTACCTGGATTGTGTCCACAGATTCTGGCTGCTCTGTCGTACTGGGCATAGTAGAAGCAATCCCTGTTCTGCTGACCGGCTTAAGGTCTCTGTGGTTGCCTGTGGAAGGTGGGGTTGGCGTAGGGCGGTCGTACTGGGCCCTGTAAAACTGGCGGTTCGCCCCACGTATTCGCCGGAATGCCGCTGCGCGGTTCCAAGGTCAGGGGAAATTGGGTGCGCCGTGTCGCATCCAACTGGAGAGCCTCCTCTGCGTCCGCGGGTGGGTGACTCGTGAAAATGAGTGCAAGTTCCCGGTCGCAGATCCCACTGATCAGACGATTGAACGTCATGTCCTCGTCACCATGGGGAGGAAAGGCGCGGAAACCTCAATGTTTGAGGGCTATATAGAAGTCCAAAAACTTCTCTCCTTCCATTTGGTTTCTCGCAAAGAAACGTTGCTGGTCGGCCGCAACGCTGGATTCGCCTTGGGCAATCCGTTGTAGGGCCGCAAAATAGTCTTGAAAATCGCAGAAGGGGGACGAAGCCATGCCGTCCACCTTGTACCTCAGTTCAGAGCTGAGTAGGAATTTTAAGGTGACCTTTTTGCACGCTGTTGGTGTAGCGTTTATAAAGGGTTGTGCCATCGACACCCACTGCGGAAAGTCGTCGTTCTCTCGCAGCACCGGTGGTTGGATGGGTTGGAGGGTAATGTAAACGGGTTTGGGAATGGGGTCCGGTTTGTATGCGCGACGCCGTTGTACACAACGGAAATGTTCGAAGTTGTGGGCGGTAAGGTCAGGAAGGGAAATCGGCGATTAAGGGTAATCTTTGCCGATTTTCGGGGGTGAAGGGGGTGGGGTGGGTTCGCGGTCGGGAGCGTTCGATCCGGGCATCGTTGCTACCACTTTGTAAGACCCCTGTCGGGTCCGAGACCTGTAGGGACTCGTTACTACTGGAAAGTATGCTTTCCTGGAAGAGATTCACAACACACCACGGAGCAGAACACGATGGACGAAGTAAGGACTTTATTAGGGTGATAGTTGGAAAGGGGAACACGTTGATGTGTTCCAATAACGGAGTAGAAGGGGAGAATCAACGACGTTGTTGCGGAAGAGTGGGCAGACCTAAAGAATAAAAGAGGTAATCATGATATTACCAGGGAAGTGCCTAAGACATGCACAAGCAAGATGGCGACCGTTAC